CACAAGGTTCAGTTCTTGGACCCTTACTTTTCCTCATATATATAAATGACCTGCTGGCAACTATAAACTCTGTATCCAAACCTATTCTTTTTGCTGATGATACAAGTATCATTATTGCACACCAAGAATTGATCTATCTTGAAAGTATCATGAATGATGTCTTTGCCAACATAAACAAATGGTTTAGAGCTAACAAACAGGCACTAAATTTTGAAAAGACAAACTTCATAAAATTTGTTACTGAGCACAAGACATATCCTAGGTTAAATATAGGTTTTGAAAAAAAATTAATTGTGGAAGTTGAAACAAACAAATTCCTTGGCTTACAAGTCGACAGTACCTTAAATTGAAAGAAACACATTGAGTATATTATTCCCAAATTAAGCTCTGCATGCTTTGCCATGAGAACAGTCGTACCACTTATGACAATATATACTTTAAAGCTAGTTTACTTTGCTTACTTTCACTCTGTAGTGTCATATGGATTAATCTTTTGGGGAAATTCAACAGACAGTAATAAAGTTTTCTGAGGTTTATGTATATTAATTTGTAAATTATTTTTCATACTTGCATTGCGGTATCTGAAATTTATGTACATTGATATGTGAAATAAGTTCTCAAATCCTACGTTCTTGTACTTGTGTAGAAAGTTGTGTTGAAAGTTCTGAAGTGTGTGTATATTGTATGAAGTGACATGTTCTACATCCTTTGATTGAGTCCTAAGAAGGATTTATGGAATGTAAATAAACTCTACTCTACTGTATTATTTTAACCAGTGTCTTCACAGTATGTCTTATTTGGTATTCAAAATACTGCTTTCATACTAACCTTTGAGGGCGGTGTTTCCTTTATAATTTGGCTTGTAGAAATTATGCTATTAGATCACATGTATATACGAGTATATTACCACTGGTTTGTCTGTTTGCAGTACTGAGTCAAGTTTTTCTTAAAATAATTGTAGTCCTTTTTTTTTTGGTATGTAGGTATTGAGTACACTGATACAGCCATGAAGAATGCTGTAGCAATAACAAAGAAGATTGAATCATTCCTTATAGATTCTGATGCATATATTCATGGTTATACAGCTCTTGGTGATGTTAATGAACCATATTTGTTGAAGGTAAAATATGCTTCACAATAAGTATAATTAAAAATGAAGCAAAGCTGTCCTGCTATAGGGATGAAATGGTAGCACCAGCCAAAGGTAAAATATTACTCACTGGTAGATGAGTAGTGACAGAAGCATGTAACTTAGCAGGAAGGAACATCGTTCATATTCATTTAAAGAAAAAGTGATTCTAGTAGTGAAGAATTTCACTTCTTCATGTATGATTGCCGAGAGCATGTGTACTTCAGTTATACATAGTTTTCCAGTAAGGTTTGGAATTTACATTTTTATAATCTTATGTTAGTGGACACTTAAGTAGTTTATTTCACTGTTCTGAAAGTTTGTGTTTATATCTATACTAATAGTATTAAAAATATATGAGTTCACTTAAATAATATATGTTATGGATGTCTGTTTACCTATAATTACACATACTACAAAGCTTTTAGTCATTTCAGACTGTTTCTGAGGTCAAAACAAGAATTTTAGGAGCTCTGGCAGATGATTTTGACACTGCTACAGCCATGAGTGCCATTATAGAACTTGTGGGAGTTACAAATAAAATGTTACATGAGAAACCTCAACATGTGAGTATGTTTCCTGTTTCTTATAGTGCCCTATACACATTAAATATAAGAAGGGATTAATAAGTTATTGCAAAACCTTGCATATTCTGAAGTATTAGGTAATTTTCTTATATACACATATGAAAAATGTTCTGTCTGTAGTCTATCTTCATCGTGCAAATTGCATTATCAGCAGATAGTGAAACCAGAATCCTTTCTGTTCATGCTATGTCTTCATGTGTTGGTAAAATATGAATGTTGTGATTGGCATAATTAGGTACTTGTAATTATATTGGCCAATCACCCACCACCAGTAACTAGAGTAAATGTTGTGTACATCATATTGAGATAACTTCAAAGAAGTATTTGTGCTTTTTTAAAGTGGTTCTTAAAAGTGTCTGACTTATGTTAAAATTGAAATGGCTTGACATTCTTTTGAAAAATTCTCTAGTATCAAATTACATCAGAATCATCTTGAATTGTTTCTTGCATATGGACAGAAGAAGTGTCTTTAATCTGCATGGTTGTAAATGTGCCTAAATAAAGAGATAATATCCCTTTGCTTAACACCATTGCCATGAAATATGGAGGTAAATTTCCCTGCATTCTTAACCTTGGAACTAAGTATGGATAAGCAGCCATCATCATCTTATTTCATTTACTTCAGTAGAGAGACCCTCTTGTACATAATAATGAGCCGAGAAGATTATAAACCTTTTTTATTTAAAGTCTTCAGAGAACAAAACATTTTATTGGTTTGAAAATGAAACTCTTAGATGTTGACTGGTATTTTAAACAGATAAACTTATAAATCTTTGCATCATCTGCAGAATACTTATGACTGATACATAAATTCAGGATTCTAGCAGTTCTGCAATATGTGCTAATATTTCGTACTTTAAAGAAAAAGTTACTGTTTATCATTTCAGGATATGAAGTGTGCTCGAAATCCAGTAGCAATAGCAGCTGTGATGTCCTTTGTTCAGCAATCTCTGGAGAAATTTGGGTCTAATTTTTCAAAAAAAAGAGTAAGTGAATCAGTTCATTACACAGTCTAACAGTAAATGTAGAATTATTGTAACAGACTAACTTCTGAATTTATAATTTAATGAAAAATTCTCAAAACAGAAGTTTCATTCAGAATTTATTTGTATTTATGATTTGCCTCCATACGAATTTTCATATGGTGCCTAATTTTAATTGTGCATTAATGTAAAGCTAGATATAGATTACTTATTACAGAAAATTTAAATGTACAAAGTCTCCTTTCTTTTTTCTTCTCACACAAGTACTCCTGTACCGTATATCTTGTTTCAATTCCCTGTTTGTTTGTTTTTCCCTCACTTTGCCTTTCCACTTATCATTAGTTTTTCCAATGGTCATTTATTTGGTTTGTTCATTTGTTATACTGTCAGGGATATCCTTTGATAGCAGTTTATAGTTTAGTCATTCAGACCGAAATTTTACATTTTCTCTAACAGTACTATTTAAGTCTCAGCTTTTCAGCCTTTGTTAGCTGGGCAATTATGCAGGAGGAAAACATGAAAGTTACAAATAATAATTACAAACATATTATTGGAAATAATTAGTTACCTCACACACCATTGGAAGACGCGATATATTTTATAGAAGCATTTTCTTGTCTGGTGTTGTAGTGTGTTAAGTTAGTCCTATGTCTTTTGCATGAAGTGCATAAAATGAATGCATAATTAGGAGATCTGTTTCTCTGTTATCCATATATGACATTGCTGAATGGACAATATTCATTGTGTTTAGGAATCCGGTATGCAGACTAAAGATTGTGATGTGAATCTAGGAAGGATTCTTGACAGTGTGGTACACTTTCGAAACCAAGTAAGACAAAATGCTCTGAACCCTCCTGGAGAAGATATAAATGCAACGGTGAGTACACACCAGGACAGTACTCATGCCTGATTTGCTGAATTGTAGATTTGTAGATGCAGTCACTCTCTGCTTAAATACAAGCAGGTCAGTCACCCAATGAATAGATAGGTGAGTGAATGGCTGGCTGTGTATATGGCACCTTTATGATATTAGAACATAAAACAGGGTTTGGCAAAGAAGACTGACCTTTTCATTTGTGAATAAGTTCTGTTTCATTGAGTAAATAATATAAACTGCCTCATTACATTTTACATAAATCTTTTAAAGTAAGTATAGTATAAATACTGTTTACTTTTTTTAAAACAAAGCACTAAATGCCCCCCTTTGGCAATGATGTGCTCTTGCATTGTTGTATACTACTCAAAATAAAAACACCAGTCTTCTCTACTGGATTCTGTATTTCAATAACTATGTGTGTTTTTCAGCTAAACAGAAATTAGAAACTTTATCTGAGTAAACAAAGCAAGTTGTGGGCGTCTCACTGTTATGTGCATTTTCTTATAGACTGATAATGTGAAGAATGGGGCAGTGAAGAATACAGTCTTACTGAATGCATGTGACAGCTTACGTGATGACCTTCTGTCATCAGGAATTCATGTAAAGGTAAATATATGAGTTTAAATACTTCTAATTAGTCTGACTGACACTCGGAAATGTTTCTTTGGGATAATAACTAAAAAAGAAAGCATGTTATTTTGGATCAGCAATTTTGAGTTTGAAATTATTATGAACAAGAAGAGTTAGTGCTTATGAATGAGTTATATTGTTTAGAGCATTGCAAGGGTTACATTTTTTTATTTATATATATGCTCGTTCTACAGGATCATGGAAAAATGTCCACATGGAATTACATTGGTAAAAGTTTTAAAGAAGTAAGGTAGCATATCACAGTAAATGAGTCCTGAGGTGTATTATAGTGTTATTTTAATTAAAGTTAGTGATCTTTATAAATTATGTCACTAACCAAAGAATACGTCTTCTACACCATATTATTTAGTCAATGAGTTTGAATGATCTAGATGTGTGGTAACACTGTTAAGTTCAGCCTTTGTAATTGTTAGTTGAACAATATGCAATGCTACACAGAATGTGCTCTGGGCAAAATGATGGCTAAAGAAGATAAAGGAATAACATATTCATGTTGTGAAAAACAGATTGTAGATAAAGATAGTTTTAATTTGTATGGCAAAGTATTATTTTTGTTAAAGAATGTACTATGGCACTCATTTGACAGGAATGGTGCTCAATCGCAAAATATGATACCATTAAAAGAGTCAAGGACTATGAGCATGAATCAATTGAAGTAACATAATTAAAAAATCGGCGTTAATTTGTGTTCATCATATTTAGGATATGGAATGAACAGTTGCACATTCTTTCCAGATATAAAATTATGGGTACGTGTTTTTCAGACTTTCATGCATCAAGGATTTACAAATATAAAGTTCAGATATGTTCACAATATTGTGCTATTTTTATTCCATTGTTTTGAGAAGCAATGGATGAAAACTGCAAAAAACACCTCCATATATCCCTATCCTCTCTGATTTTGTTCAACATCTCATTTTATTTTCTTCTTCCGTTTCTTGACCGTTACTTCGGTCTTCCGGTGCCTAATATTTTCTTCCATTCTTCTCTATTTTCCCATCCTTCAGGAGGTATTTTCCACTCTAGCATGGTTCTTGTACTTCTGTTGTTCCATCCTGGTCTCGGTCTCCCTCTCTTCCTTCTCTCTTTTGGTTGCCATTTCATAGTCTTCTTTGTAACCTTTCCTCCTCCATCCTTTGCACGTGTCCGTACCAAATCAGTTGTCTTTTCTCTATCTCCTCTATTATATCTCGATCCATCCTCATGATTTCCTCACTCTATCTCTTCTGGATATTCCAGCCGCTCTTCTTTAACCACCAATATTCTTAAGAGTGTATGTGGACCGAATTTATCTGACCCAGGATAAGGACCAGTGATGGGCTATTATGAACGAACTTTTGTGTGTCATAAAGGCAGTAAATTTCTTTACTAGCTGAGCTACTGTTATCTTCTCAGGAAGGAGTCTGCTGTAGGGAGTTCATCAGTTATTTACTTAGTTTAACCAGTCATACCAGTTAATGATTTATTGACTCTTCAGTTATTCACTGTCACAGTTCAGCTGTAGAGATTATTCAGCATCAGTGAGATAGGAAAATGAACGTGAATGGTTAGTAGATAAATGTTTTAAATGTTTGGCCATGGTCTGTTTCTCAGAGCTATCTCAGTAATCCCCTATAGATACATTTTAATTCAACGTTATTAAAATTGTAGAACTTATGGAAAATACGTTATCATTTTTCTACTCTTTGTTTTTGGTGCTCTAATCTCAGGGAAATGAAATTGGTTTAAATCTGGAGTACTGAAAGGTTTACATATTGAGGTTGAAGTTGATTGTGATATTTGTCCAGCATAGGATTAAGAATTTGTCAGTGTTTTATGCGTCTCCTTTTTCTGAATTATCCGTGTTTGTTTGTTTCACTATTATTTGAATGTACATTTGATATGCCATGTCATCTTTATTTTTTAATGTGATATAATTCAGTATTAAAATGAATCTTAAAAAACATGTAATGTGAGGGTGTGGACTAGATTCAGCATTTGTTCCATAGAGTTGGTTTATATTTAAACATATATATTTTTTAAGTTCAGATGAAGTACAAATCCCAGTTTAAATTTATAACTGTCAATTGAATAGATGCTTAAGCACCACTTTCTATTTAGCTCTGTTTGTAGTGGGGAACTATTTTGTATGACAGTTGATATCAAAGGGCAGAGATATGCTCTTACAGTTTATAGTTTCTGTCAAAGATGGCAGGACAGTCTAAACTTTCATGTGCTGTCATCTAGCAACAGTTTAAGGAGTTCCAATATCTTTGGCTCTCAGAGGGCTGTTACGCCACGGATTTTTATTATAAACCCAGTGGCAATACTGGATTTACTCATTGTACCTAAAATCGTAAAAATTCCTTTTATAAAAACATCTGTGTTGGGAACAGTTGAAATTTCTTTGACTTCATGCTTGTTTCTGTACCATCCATTATAAGAAGGTAAGGTTTGACATGAAATTCCTTTTTTCCATAAATAGACACAAGTAATACAATATATTGCCACTAAATTATTTTTTATTACATGTGTCTATGAATTCCAATTATTTCTATTGCCCCTTATTTCACAAGTTTCCTAATATGACTTTTAATGTATAAAACCAGTTACATACCAGTTTGTCTCTGCATAATAAAGCAAAAGCAGCTAAACAAGTCATTAAATGACAAGCAGCAGACTTATACATGGAAGTGGATTATCCTACATTTACGTTTACTGTGTTATACATGTATATGGAGAAGGTAACTGAACTTTGAGATATGTTCTAAGCTTTGCATAAATTACATTTAGCATCTAAGAGCATCTTCCCAATATTAATCTGATACTTACCACATCACAGCTACATTTAATCAAATTCAGTTTTATTTTTATGCTGTTCCAACCATGTTAATTAATTCTTTTTTATCACTGTAAAAATATCATAAATGTAAACTTTTCCATAAAATAATTTCTTTCTACTATTCGACTAAAAGTACTTCAGGAAATTATGTCAGTGCTTGTTAAAAGTTTCAATAGCTCTGCTTGGATGACTAAAATGCATACCGTTGAGGTTAATTGTCATGTGGGTTTAACTACACAAACTGTGCAGGAAAAAAAGCCCGTTGCGAGGAATTGAATCCCGGTCTCCCGCGCAGCAAGCAGGCATACTAACCACTATACTACCGGAGATGCCGAAGCCGTTAGTACTGGCATTTTATTTCTAATAAATATGTTATAATTTAGTACGAGGAGTATACAATATTTGTATAATTGATTCCTGAACATACATTTATTTACGGTCCATGCAACAACGCCATCAGTAGTTCGGACTGTAGAGCATCAAATGATACGATGAAAAATAAATTTCGAAGGATGTGGAAAGAAGCAATGTCCTAATTTAAGCTAGTACCCTGTAGAGACTGAGGAAAACTCTGTATGGGCAGTCGGTCTCTGGCTTTGCAATAATCCTTTTATCATCTCAAAACTGGAGTTGAACGTCACGTAAACTTGCTCGACAATTTTATCATAGATACCGCAGAATCAAATGTAATCGAAATACGCCATTCACTTCTGGCATTAAAAGGTCTGACGGAGAGACAAAACTTCCTAATAATGCATTAATTTTACGCAAGCATAAAATATAAAGAGCCAATACACATCACTGTAGTGTAGAAATGTTTGACAGACTAGTCGCCATTAAAAACCGAGGACGGTATCGCTCGTCACTTATGCACTTCTGCATCCTGCTGCTAACAAGACTGAAAGGACAATGCCTTCTCACACTTGGTCAATGCCCAAGTCCCGAGTTCTGAATTACGTGAAGACGCTGTTTGTTGTGTGCCTAGACTGCTGAGCCAGAATGCGCAGAAGCTTCCACTCAGATTTTGACAATCGTGGAGATGGAAGTTGTGGAGTGTACGACCGGGGTTCCATCTCTGGCGAGGAACAACATTTCTCTTTGTTATGACATCAAGACCGGCTTGGATCCCGCCCACCCTGTAAGCACCAGTGGTAACTTTCATTATCTCAAGTACAATAATGAGTAATATCCCCTTTTCCTACAGAAAAATTCAAAGTTCCTGTGAACCCGAAAGAACACAGATGTGTTTCTTGTAATGAACCTACTTACTGTTGCAAGTTACAAATATTAGTAATGGACCCCACGTGCTTGTAAGCGAAGACGTGCCAATTTAGAGCGTGGGACTTGGGAAACACTTCCAGGTACAAAGGGACTTCTGAATCACACTGTATGTTTTTACCTTTTGTTTAGATGGGCGCGAAACTTGTGATGTTTGTGAACAAAGTATAGAAGAATGTGTGGATCTGAGAGAAAAGAAAAGGGAGACTTGAAGAAATTTGTAGAATAAAGAGGTACCCGAATATTATTGACATGAATAAACATGCAGCACTCTTTTGGGAGATAGAAGTGCAAGCAGCATTTTAATCTAAAAACGAAAGCCAAAAATTATTAACTCGCAGGCATGCTGTGGGCGTAGTCACTTTCTGTGGTGCCCTGGCGATGCTCAGAGGCCCCTATGAGGGAGGAGCTGTTTGGCAGAGCAGAACAAGGTCATAAATATGACATTGAAAATACGTGCAGTGACTTCGTGGCCATTTCAGAGACATGCATATATGACAGGATAATATTAAAATGGAACTGAAGCAAATCGACTTTGAATGTGAGCATTATAGGCCACAAGAGTATGTACAGCTGAGTCAGTGACGTGACTGTCTTTGAACTACACGACCGGGGTTCAATTTCCGGTAGGGGAAGGGATTTTTCTTTTCGTCACCACTTGGAGGCTGACTCTAAAGCCCCGCCAAAGAGTACTGACTGTCGAAGTGCACGCATGTTATGTGCACATTTCCTAATTTGTTGACTCTTATTCCACCGTAAGAGCCCAGATAGAAATGAAAAAGATTAAAGAAACGAATAAATTAATTTTTATCTGCAGTAAGTGGACATCAAGACCATAAAGGAATCTGTCTGCAAACTGTACACATCTCTAAACTGTTATTTTACCATAATAACGGCCCGGAAACGAATGATGACACCAGGAGCTCATTGCAACTTGCTTACATTGTCAAGCCCGACTAAGGGAAATGACACTTTCAGATAAGCCGTTAGCATTTCGTATCTTCTGTCTAAAGATAATGCAGTGAATCATTGAGAAAGCTATCTCGTGTTGCATGAGTTCTAGCCGAGTCTAATGCTTCCGAATCACGTTTCAAGGTTACGTCGCAATGCGTTTTTCGTGGCCTTCACGAAATGCTAGCGAAGATATGTAAAATTTCTTCGTATACACAGATTTTCTTTTTTGTAATTTTTAAATATGTTTTCAAATATTGAACTCTGCCTTGTTTCCAAAAGTATATATTTGCCTTTACGTTATGATTTTGTCCTGCATTCTGGTGATGATACCAGAACATATACTGAGTGGCCATAACATCTCGGTCTATCTGGTTGAAAAAAAAATGGTATTATTCGAAAAAGAGAACAAATTAAAATTACGCTGAGTAAACACCTGAATTCTCTTGTGGAGAGTCAGCATCTTCGGTTACACTAAAAACTGAAATACGCAGTGTATTTATATTTCTTTGTAGTTCTAAAGTAAATTGGGTTAATGGTCATCCTGTACTCTTATTTCCTTCTGCATGTACCTTTGTGCCAACATCCTTAGTGACGTCTAATAGGTTTTCTGTCCTGGACGGGCAGAAAACATGGGGCAGTTGAAAAATTTGTAAAATAAACATAGATGGGAGGATAATATTAAAATTAATGTTAAGAAAATATATATGGACGTAATGGTTGGGATTTAAATAGTTCTGGTACTGGGCAGGGCTCAGTGGCGGGCTGTTGTGAACACAATATTGAATGTTGGGCCTCGTAATAGACGAGAAGGTTCGTGACCAGCCGAACGACAAGAGTGTCAAGAAGGGTCCCGATCCATTTAATTAGCGTTGTGGTTTATCGGGTGGTTCTCGTTTTGTCGAGGCGCTTATGACCGCACGCCGCTAAGTGCATTGAACTCAACTGCCGTTCTTCTGTTTCCACCCGACATGCCTTGCGATACTGATCTAGGCACTCGCTCTTGAGTGACGTACTGTCGACTTAATGAAACCCTATTTTACACTATTTTCTTTGTTTCATGCAATTTGGTTTGGACACCATGCCAATAGAAGCCACGTCAGAATTGTACTTCTTAGGCTAGGGACCCACTGGCGCGACTAGCCGCGTGCGGCGTGTCGAGTGTTGTCGCGCGCGGCTGTTATTTGTATTGCTTTTTATAGGTGCTAAACCCACTGACGTGGCGCGGCAGCCGCGCCGCGTCAGTGGGTGTTTTCTTTGCGGTAAGAAATATACTTTTAAATATTATTTATAAAAACTACGGGCTTCGAAAGATTTATGTTGTGATCGAATTCTGTTGTAAAACGTCGTGGTGAACATTTAAATTGTGTACTTAAGTTTCGGTTGTACGGTGGTAACCAATTAAACATTTGATCTTTGTAGGTCTATGTGAATTTTTTATAGATTACAGCTACTGTTATTTACAAATCACCTATTACGCATCAAGACAACTATGAGGTTTTTATCTGACAATTTCAATGTAGTCGGAAACTGCTGGCCTACTAATCGATCTTATTCACAGAAATGGATTACTGACTCATTTAGTTTTTAATGTAAAGATATTGCTGTCATGTTCTTCCCAGAACACTTCTTACTGGAAATATGAGGTTATGGACGATGTATATTTCTTTCTTACAGATTTTTTAGGTCTATAGGAATTAAATCCGTACTTACGGACTTACATTTTGCAGTGTTTAAGTTACACTTTCAACTTTCTTAATTTCGTATTCAGATATTAAGAGCTGTAGATTTTAATCGTGTATCAAAAACTAGCAATTCCCCTGCCATTTTGTATTTCCAAAATAACAGGACGAAGGAAAATTATTATATTAGCTTAAAGAATTATTGACTTTTCATGTGTAAACGTGGTCTGTTTCAACACACCGGTCACTGACAACAAAATGTACATAGGCATGAAAAATAATGCTACTATATTGCGTGCGTATCTTTGAGGAATTAAATCTGTCATAACCATTGTCACTTCTTGCTGGAACTCTCCAACACCGGAAGGTTAATGACCTCCATTGTAAAACTTGCACATATACCGGAAGTGCTTCAGTAAATCGCAGTTTACTAGAGCGGAGTGTTTATTGCGCGACATAGCAATTAATCTTCCTTTCATAAATGAAGATAATTCGTGAAGCGTTTTCCAATTAAAAATCCTGTAGTCTGTTCGTGTGATTTGCTGTAACTACATGAATTCTGACTTTTTAACAGAAGTGTTCATAAAAGAGGGACAGAGCGTCTGAGAACAAAGTACTGAAGATAATATTACAATAGAGAAGCTTCATAATTTGCACTCCTCACAATATATATTATTACAGTGATTACATTAAAGAACTTGAGATGGGTGGGGCATGAGGTTATGGACGGAACAGTTAGTCGGAAAGCCTCAAGGAATGAAACTACTTGAGAGACCTTCGCATAAATGTGGTGATAATATTAAAAATTATCTTGAGGGTGTGACTAGGAAGTTGTTATAAACCTGTGGATTCCATAAAACACCTGATTTGTTTTGTTTTTTTTGCCAATTTAAGCAATTGTACATTTTTGAAGGAAGATATTGCATCTGAAGTTAGTCTTAACTGTACATTTTACTTTAGTTTACATCGACAAAATGTCGTGTTTCTTTATATAATGGGATCATTTTTTACGTTCTGGTGGTCTGTAAAGAAATGTGGGGTTTACCATGACGGGTGACTTGCACAAATCCAGGTATAATAAAGGATTATTCCGTTTCACTAACCTCGTCTAACTTCCGCTGGGGTTCAGACCCTGTCAGCTGTTAGCAGGATAAACTTTTACTTGCTAACCACAGGCAGAATTTCTCCAAAAACCGATCACAGACAAACCAAACTCCCTCTATAATTCTGTCATATTAAATCCGTTGTTTTATGGGCATTCTTTTAGCCACTGAAGTACAGTCTTCTGCCATATCTCATCGCCCTTTCTAATAATTTATTTCTTACACACACACACACACACACACATGCTCAGCTGATGTGAATCAATTGCACAGGGCCGAGTAGTTTTATGAGGGGATAGTGCAATGCACAGTAGATGAACTTACAGTGCTGACACTAGCAAGCGTAACTTCGTTTACACAACCATAATGTTTTTGAAAGAAAGCTGACAGTAATTTTGTTGTTTGGCATACTTTTGTATCAGGGTGTACAAATGACAGATGGTAGTTACCAAGTGAGTCATCGGTGTTCACCACTGGCGCATAGATACCAGAATAAAGTAAAAACAAAAGAACAGCAGTCTCGTCACGTTTCTTTTTTCAAGATGGGAGTAGTACGATCACAAATTCGTACTTTTGTAGACTTCTTATTTTAAGTGGGATAACTTGTCAGTTGTTCTGTTATAACTTTCCGTGTGTCTATTACATACACACCAAACAAACCAGTCTTAACAATGAAGGACTTATCTTAGATGTACCAGGCTCGATTCTCGTCTGTATTGCTGGCTATTGTAAATTACGGTTTTCTCTTAGCCTTTCCAGGTGAAGCCAGCTGAATCCGTTCCACATCCACAGAGCCAATTTTATTAAGATCTGTTAATATTACCCTCCAGTCACGGCTAGAATTCCTAAGTGGCCACTTCCTTTCAGGATTTTAAACAGAAATTTTGTTTATCATCTCCATGCGTTTCGCCCATTTAAACCTCCTTTTATTGTCATCAATGTGTTGATATAGCCAAGCCGTCGGAATCGGTAAATAGGCTTTATTCTTTATTTATGTTTCTTTAATGACGTACGAAAACATATTTGATTTCTTGTCATTTTATTGTAAGCTAGTAAACGTTCTTTATAATCATTTTCATTCAGAACAGATCGTAGGCTCTCACGAAGTCAGGTCGGATGTCCACAAATGATGACTGTGATTTATACTGAAGAAAACATTGTGGTGACAGTTTCCATAGACACATCACCAGCTGTCTACCATTATATCATCGGCGCTACATAATCCCTTTTGACAACTCAGTCCGTCCGTCTATCCGTCACTCGTTATGTCCAATTGAAATATTACATGTCAGTTATGTATGCTCTGTAATATACTACCATTAGATTAACAGTGTCATCTACATACCTGAATACATGATAAACTTCGCCATGTTTTTATTTCTTTTTAATTTTCATTATGACAGGAACATCTGAAAAAATATATAGGGCTATATTTCTGAAAAGGTATGTCGTGCATGAGAGGATATTCTAAAATTTTGTATTAGTGAAGGACCGTCACCATCTGTTAGCAAAACGGAATACCTCAGTAACGTGCCGATTTTTTTTTTAAATTACCCGCTTTTTTTGCCTGCAGTGTTGGTGCGATTGTGTCTTTACCAAAGAAAGCTTTTCCTCTGTATGAATTCCATATCGATTTAGTACTTTGTTAAGCAGGATTCTTAACACTGTACATTGCGCTACGTATGTATGACTTCCACGTCCTTCCATTTCCACAGCCCCCTACATATGATTCACCACCTCCTAACCGGCGCTACAATCGCCCGCCAGTCCACTACATTCTCCAGCAATTCCGATCCCTCTGTCAGTCTGCGAGTGTCAGTGTTCCGGTTAAGCTAGATGTTCTGCTGCTGACGACTAACGTCTTGTATCCCGCCACGTTTCCATTTAGCCGGGAAAAGAAGGAAATTAACTACTTTCTCTACACAGGTTAGTTAAAATGGTATTACGCCGTTTCGTATTTACTTATATATTCCTGCATTTATTACCATTTTGTTAACAAGCTGAACTTATTACGATTGTATGGCTTGTGTGTTTAGGGTGTGGTTTTGTTTTCTTCGGCCAAGGTTTGTATATCGCGGCGTTTGTTGATTATCAGCTTTTATATCATTATTGGTGTAATGCTTGTTCAGATTAGGAACATCTTTAAAATCTGGTGATTTGCTTGATCGATCCAGTACACATGTAAAAACTCTGCAGCTGGTTAGTTCATTGCACTCTATCTTCCATGATATTTGTGTATTCATATTTTTTTTGTGGCATCGTGTTATTTACAGTACCTTTTTACGGAATGATGTTGTATTTTGTGTATGAGTTAGTTACTTTTGTTGGGAAACGATATTCTTTTTAGCATAAGGCCTTGTTGCGAAAGTAAGTCATGTCTGTGTAGAGCAAACTTTCACGATTGTTGTGAGGTTACACCTTATATGATTCTAGTTTTCTGATTAATGTATTCATTGTGACGTCAGGAATTCGGACAGGGTTATTATAAAAGTCTGCCCTGAATCGTGAGTCAGAAATGGAAATGAGGTGAACGCTGATTTGGATCCTCTGCAGCTTCGACTGCATTACCGACAGACCGGATTGTACCCTCGTCTCGCACAGACACGGTCTTGAATATGAAAAAAGTTGTTTTGCGCCATAAGTCAGGGACAAAATTGGACTGATTTTTGCGGCAAGTTTGTGAGAGAAACTGATAAGTAAAAAATATTATAATAAAACTAAATAAACCTAAGATTAAAATTTTAAGAAAGGCCAACAAAAGTAACATTTTTCTTTGGAAACGGCAGCCATTCAGCACAAATGTTCGCACAAACTATATTTAGTATTGTGGTACACAATAAGTATATGTGTTTGAGGTTCAGTTAAAGCGTACACAGGAAGCAGGTGATAGAAAGACACCTGTCGAAAATTTCAGCGACACAAACCCAGGGCAGTTAGAAGGATAGTAATTTTCTTCAGTAGGTTTAGTAAAGTGGAAAGCCCAAGTTGTTTTTAACAAAATAGTGAACAGTAGCTGTAAGAATTTGGAGATCGTTGTAAAGAAACGGTTGTGGACCGTCTGAATAGTTCGAACTGATGATATCGTCGGAATAGATGTTCACCTTTCACCAGTAGGCATCCCACTTTTCAAGCGATGCAAAAGGAGGGGTTACCCGTTCTACTGCGATGTCAGTATTCGCTGATGGCTGGATTTTCTTAAGTATGATTAGGTCTTACAAAACGGCTCCAACCCTGGATGTGTTTAAATGGTAGTTATGTGTAAGTGTACTTATTCTTTGCATATTTCCAGTCTGGAAAACCATCCACATCACAAACGGGTCGTTTTTGTCTGGTAAATTAAACCAGGGGCTACGCGTTGATTTATGCGTCACTGTGGAGAGGGGATGTACGCATTTTCTTATTTGAGTCAAGGGAAATATTTAGAAAACGTGATCGTAACTCGTGAATATTTGGAAGGGAGTTCGGGGTAAATTCTTTCAGAGGCCATCAAACTAGTTCGCTGGCCGTTCGG